TAAAAATATATTTTTAGAAAAGTTACATATGCACCTTTAAGACTTGTACATGATCACAGTAAGTCAAATGAGAATCCAAAGTAATTCCAAGATATTTGTAGGTAGTGACAATATCAAGGGGTTTGTTTAAAAAAGTGAGTTGATTTGTTATATTGAAATGTCTCCTGGGTGAGGAAAAATACATGCACACAGTTTTTTAACATTAATTGACAAAAGATTATCTTGAAGCCAACCATGAAACGTCTGAAGATTCCCCCGGACGAGCTGGCCCAAGTGGGGAGAGGGAAGTCTGGGTCTCTCTGCGTAGGCTGCTGCCCCTGAGACCCGACCCCGGATAAGTGGAAGAAAACGGATGGACATACTAGCTTTTATATTCTTTTAGCTGGCCTTTTGTTACTTTTACCTTTTAGCTACACTTTTGCTATCTAAAATGTCTGGTACATTTTTCTTTTTTTGTTTAAGCATCTACATCACCTTATCAGAGTTTTGGTTAGCGTTTGGCTATTTGTGGCTTTTGAATAGTATTTGTCTTTTTTTCTAGCTTTTAATGTTCTTTGTCTTTTTATCTTTAACACTCAATTTTAGCTTCTTCAGCAAATTTTACATAAGTCACTCAGTACTCAGTGTTCATGCTGTTTTTTTTAATGAATTGGACATTTTCTTTTCTTTTCCTTTCATTTTTATTCTTCTTTTGCCACTTGTGACGTTCATCCCTTGTTTTCCGTTCTCAGATGAAGAAGTTTCCCCCTCAGCTCAGTCTCTGGTGGAAGCACCTGGTAGCACCAGTGAAGGCAGCACTAAGGGGCAAAGTGCCAGCGTTGCAACAGGAAGTCTGCTCCGCTCAGTTCTGGCTCAAAAAGGACGACTTTGGTCCAGAAAGAAGGAGATTATGCCCTCTGCTCTACCCCAGAACCTGCTCCCTCTCCTGGGCAGAGGACTCAGTGTCAGCTCACTTTCTGAAAGTCAACCATTGGAGCATCAAAGCAAAAGATTTCCGATGAGAGTAAAGTCTCCAGAATCGGCTGTAGAGTCAGGCCGGCCAAGTCAGCCTCCTTCGACAGACTCAGCGTCTGAGGCGCCGCACACACAGACACACACACCTGAACCTGAAGCTGAGATCACAACTGTGAGCACCATCCTGGACATGGACACTGAACTACCTTCACCAGGTAAATGTAGAAGTTGAATCCACCTTTGTTTGAATTAAACTAAATATCTTCTTCTAAGCTTTGTTCTTAGAAGTTCACACTTTTATTTGCAACACTGGTCTGACCTGAAATAATAATAAAATGTGATGGTGTCATTTTTACCAGAATGGGAATGGTGCAAAATCAAAGAGCAACACTTGAAATGTATGTGTAGTTAATGATTGTTAGTCACAATTCCCCCAACTGTAGCACAACATCCGTTAAAGGGACTGAATTACTCACATTTCCCTATTTTCTAAGATCAGTTGGCACTGGTGGCCATCTTGAATTGGGTTGGCTCCAAATACTTTTTAACCCCACAGGTTCTTGAAATATTTTATTTGCACACACAGGCAAGGGGAAAACTATGGAGCCCGCGAGGGGGCATGGGGGGATATTTTTTTCTTTTGCATTCCCTCGCAATACTTTTGCGTTACCTCGCAATATTGTTTTCCATTCCCACGCAAAAAATTGTTTTGTATATTAACTGAATTGAATCAGACTTTTATTTTGAAATATCTGGTTACCAAAACAGGATGTGTCGCCACAGTTCGTGAAATTGACATTGATGTTGCGTGGCTGCACTGTGTTCAAATATCGGCATATGACATACTTCCATGTGTGGCTGTGTGATATATTCATTCTGAAGCTGAATTAAAGCAGTAGGCTAACTCGCTAATGGTGAACATGTGAGTTTGTTAATAAACCGGCAGGCACAACAGTGTTAAACTACTTTTGCGAGGGAACGCAAAAGGTATTGCGTGGGAACGCAAAAGAAAAGAAATATTCAGTGTCCCCTCGCGGGCTCCGTAGAAAACATACTTTGCCTCACCTTTCAATGGTGAACAAAATTACATAAAGAGAAGGGGGAAAAAAGAGAACAGTCTTAAAATTGGGTAACCCCCCCACCAAAAGAATAAATAAAAAAAGTAAAAAAATCTCTTTTAGAATTATATAAAATTTGTTGTAAAATCTTATTCCAGACAACATCCTTTTTCATTGAAATTCCCAAATCAGAAGAATATTGAATATTCATCTTGGTATTGGAATGCTGAAATTAATCACAACCTTTTCTTTAAAATGTTAATTTAAATGATAATTTCAACAGTTGCCACCTATCAAATTCTGTTGAAAATACGTATACTTTTGATACTTAAAGTACATCTCAATTTGACTTCAATAGATCAGTTTAGTAATTAGGACCAAAAAATAAACATATCAGTATGAATAGCTGGTTTTGCTTAGAAAATAAAATATTATGCACTATATATTATGTTGGGTGTGTTGTCCTGTCTGCTATTGGTGCACATTTCACATGTTGTCTAATTTCTATCAGTTTCTCTCTTTACAGTTCCTATATTTCTCTTCTACTTTTTCTTTTTCTTCTTTACTATAGCATAAAAAATAATCTCCAAAGTACACAGAAATTAAAACAATTATTAAGCTTGAAATGCAGTGCAAGTGAGAAAACACCAAGAGAGAAGACTAAAGTAAAGGCCTTGATTAACTCTTCAAACACAGATCTACAGGATATATA